TTAATACTCGTGTTGGGAGTCGCTTTTGTATTTGAGTTCAAGGTTATCGACATTGGTAAATGGCCAAGCATACTGTTTACCAGTTATAAGTGAGATAATTCTGGATCAAAGGGGTTTTGATTGATTTGGGTTGTGAATTAGAGTTATTCTGGATGTGGTACGGAATGGTTATGTTTGTCTGTAAGTCAGACATAGTATAGGGTTTTCAGTTTTCAGGAAGAGCAATTGGATATTCTTTTGTTGGCTGAGGGCAGAATGTTAAGCTTCGTTATTCGTTAGGGTATGTTATTTTTGCTAAGACTGGGCTTTGATAGCATTGTTTTTAGGCGCTCATCAGTGTGAGATGACTTCTCAGTCTTAATTGGAATTCATGTAGTTCTGTCAGGATCCACTGGTGTGGCAGAGGATGCAAAAAGGAATGATTTCGAGGACGAAATCTAATTTAAGTGAGGGAAATTTGTAACACCCTATTCCAGGATGCTTCTTAATTCAGTGGTTGTGGGCTATAATTCGATTAAATGTAGGCTTTGGGCTTTGAGGAAGTAAAGTTTAAACCTTATTGGATGATGATAATATCGGTCATGAGATCTATGATCTTGATTCGTGTGCTGGAACCAAAGGGTAAAATGGAAAAAGTTATATGTCCTTCTTCTTGCATGGATTATGGTTTTAGTTAGACATGTGTTAAGCCAAAATTAACTAGATAAAATTCTAGGGCTCTTCAATACCTTTTCATGCATATGTAGAACGTCGAAATCGGAGTTGAAACGAAGAAGTTATGGTTGTTTGAAGTTGAATTAGAAGTTGAGGGTTTTGCCCTACACAGGGAATAAGCAAGCTACACATGGCATAGATGCTGAATGAGGAACATATTTTTATTGATCTATGCATAATGTAGGTTTTGCTACGCAGGTCATAGCCGCTGCTGACCAAAACCATAACCCTAAGGTTTTGGGCCCTGTTTAAGGGCTCTAACTTCTTGGAAACCTTCCCATAACCAGCCTCCATCACCTCATATCATTCCTTTGAATCCCTAGCCATCAATTGTGAATTTTGGAAGCATTAGTGTGATTTTTTTGTGCATTACTGAAGAAGGAGTCCATTGGAGAAGCAAGTGTGAGCTCCAAGCTTTGTAGATCCAGAATTTGCACTTCATCACCTATCTCCAAAAGGTATAAAGCTTTCATATTGATGCTCCTTTTTGTTAGATCTACTTACTAATGGGTTTTTATGCTTTTTGTTGTTTGACCTTTGTCCTTGTGAGTAAGGGTTACTCTAGACCATTTGAATCCCTCATTCTATTGTTTTTGAGGTTTTAGAGTCATGAAAATGAGAGTTTGGGCACTCTCATCCATCCATACATGAGTTGTTGAGAAAAATGTGTCATCTTGGACTTAGAGTTTGGTTGTGTGTGCATCTTGGGCATGCAAAGGGATAAAGTTAGAGACTTTATCCATTAAAACATTCATTTAGATCAGATCTGGGAGTTTGAGAGTTTGGTTTGTTGTATTAAGAGCTTAACAGAAGATTTTGGGATCAGGGGCCCTACGTTGGCCATAACCTATGTACGCATGGCGTAGATCAGCTACACAAGGCGTAAGTCAACTGATGGTTGACCGTTGACTCTTGGAGCGGTTTCACTTTTGGTCGACCATATTAGGACTTAGTATGGGAAAGGAAAAATGGTCTTTTGCCCAAAGGAAGTTTAATTGTGAGCCTAGACCTTTCACGAGCCAGTCATTTCCTTGATTGTTAATTAGGGTTTTATTGTGGATATGTTTAGAAATGGGAGGGTAGATATCTTCGGCTCGAGTGGGTGGTTTATTATAACGACCCAAAACTATGAAGTAAAAATTTCATTTTTAATTCAACCAAAACATTAATTATCTTTAAGTTGACGTTCAATATCTGCTTATCCAAATATTCGAAATTACTTATATAAGAAAACAGTTATCAGAGTACAATCCCAAAAATCATCATGATGCGGAAACATGGGTGGATGCACTGCAATCAAGTCGGGACCTTCCCTTTCGAACCGGAAGTTCCTGAAACCATAACCATAAAAACCGTAAGCACAAAGCTTAGTGAGTTCCCCAAAATACCACATACCATACATAAATACATACATCCAAGCATATATGGGTGCTTGGAATCCCCTTCAGTCTATTTCAATCCGATACCGGATCTAGTTCACCCCATACCACTACCATAGATATCAAACATATAATGAGCCTCGCCCGACATCGAGCCCTGCCCGGAATCGAGTTCCACTCGGTATACATATCTGTCTGTCATTAGGCCCCACCCGCTTTACATATAACATATAAACACATAATCATACAAACACATGCGATAATCACAAAGAGAATAACATACAATACAGTCATCGGGCCCCGCCCGGCATCGGGCCTTGCCCGGTAAGCGTACCAACACATAACACATGCAAGAGTCACGAATACATCTAGCATCCTAACATAATAAACCATGGGCCGACATTGGTGCTTTCGACCCGCTAAACACAATGAGGAAACTCACCTCAATCCGCTGATAATCAAATAACTGCTCGGACCACTGAGTTGGAAAACCTCGCGCCAAATAACAATAAATACAAACTTAATCAATAATTAACTCGATATCCCAAAATCCGAGGCTCACTCCATAAACCAACTTCGTAAAGGGTAAAAGACCATTTTACCCTTTTCTTATTTGTTCCATAACCAAGGCCCAACCTATAATGCATAAAAATCCCAAAACCCAAAATGGCAATCCAAATCCAATATGGCCCAACTTCCTAATTGGGCCAAAAAACTATCATGGGACCAACTTCGGTGGAAACCCTAAGTCCATCCATGGCCCAAAGTCAGAAGCCCAATGGCCCAAAGCTCAAAAAGCCCAAAATGACCAACTGGGGAGTACGCCCCGCGTACTCACCCTCTAAGCACATAGTACAAGTCAATTTTGCACAAAATCAGCATTACGCTGAGCGTACACTTGCGTACGCCCAACATACTCCTCCAGGGTCCAAAAATCCAAATTAAGCTCTTAATGGTTAAGACAATGACTTCCAAACTTGGATATGACCCTAATGAGATGTCTTAACCCGTAAAGTTAACAACTTTATTCACTTTTCATGGCTTAATGAGATTAAAACCTTAATACAAACCACAATAAGCACCCAAACTCATGCATGGTCCAACACAACTAATCAATATGACATATTTATGAATAAGAGACCTCCCAAATGTCAAGATCCAGCATACAAAGCTCGCGGAGTAGCCCTTACTCACAAGGGTGACTCTAAGGACCAAAATGAACCAAATATACACCTTATACTAGATCTAACACCATTCATCAAGATAGAAACTTTATACCTCCAAATAGTAGATCATCATGACGCAACAAGCCTGGATCCAAAAGCTTCAAGCAATCCCACACTTCTCCAAGAACTTCCTTCTTCTTCTATGAACACCAAAAAACATGAAATACCATCAAACTCTCAAAAACCACTCAAATGGGGGCTAGGGTTTCGTTTCTATGGTCTAGAGGGATGGAGGCTGAAGATAATAGCGTTTGGTGGTGAATTAAGGAGCTTAAATAGGGTTCAAGACCCTAAATTAGGGTTTGGGTCTGACTAGAGTACGCCCAACGTACTTCTGGTATGCCTAACGTACTCCTTAGAGCACCTGTGATCAAAATGCTTAGCGCGTCCAACGTACATCATTGTATGCCCATCGTACTGGCCTTAGTACTAGTACGCCATGTGTACTCATGTGTACGCCCCGCGTACTTGCTTTAACCCTAAAACCATGAATCTTCTGAAGGACATAACTTCTTCGTTATAAGTCCGTTTCCGACAATCCTTATATCCACGAAGAGGTGACGAGAAGCTCTACACTTCTATCAACTCATACTTACCTTAAAAGTTCCCGAACAAAAATCCAATTTCAATAAGCTTCCCAATGATCGTCTACATTAATCTGGTGAATGCTATGATCCCATCGCAATCTTACAACACATCCATAGTATTTTCCAATCCAGTGAGTGCTACGGCCACCCTGCAGTCTTACGACATGTCTATCCCACCATGGTCACCGCTCATGGTCTTACCACACCTCTACCATATCATCCACAATCATCTTGCGTCGAACCCACATCCGACTGAACCCCAATCAAGTGTTTGGGTCATGCTTCGAACCCCAAAGCCTTCATCAAACAAGAACAGTCAGCAAGGATCTAACACAACCCGCAACCTAGATCCGTCCACATGTCTTCTATCCATCACGAAGAAGCCGCCAACCATCTGTTGGAAGTTTCTCGAACTCCCAACTTACACAATCTTCAATCCAGATGACCACTTGACTTGTCTTCCCTACCGACTAGGATGTGAAACTCACCCTAGTTTCATACCTGATTCAACTCCGAAAATCTGAACGATCCTCCCCTACTTGGATTTGTCGAAGCTCTCCTAACCCATAAAATTTGATGGATTGCCAACCCATCTTGCCTCCTTATAACTCAAACCGTTGACGACATGAGCTTACCAAGAACTAGCATTTCATTACTAGCCAATCCCGATGGTCACACAACTCCTGGGATCCAGATGAATACTCCCTGAAATATCAGCAAGCCCGATAACCCCAATTTATTCCCCATGGTACATCACCAAATCCTTATGTCCTTCATGCTGGTAACAAAGATCATAACCCTTGCTCTGAACTGGCGAATATTCACTCCAACTTCCCATCCTCAGAAGAATCTCTGAATTCTAACCCTCTTCAACCCTTGCGATTATAAAATTGTCTGGCACTTCCAGTGACCAAACAAACTCATGCGACTTCCACCACCATCTTCTTGCTGCCACTCCTTCCCTAGCAATGGTAGTGTTTGAGCCCAAAATTCCTTCCATCTACGACTGATTACTATGTTTTGGGAATGGTAGATGCCAAGTGTCTGCAAGATTAATGATATATATAATCTTAGAAAAGAATTTAAAATCAACATCAATGTTTATAAGGGGTGCATGCAAGCATAATAGTACTTACCGTAGCTCCTTTAGGACATGTCTTTCCAGAGGATTTGCAGGCCCATAGAGAAGAACCTTGGGCATCAAGGGTTCCACCGGAGATGGTAACATGGTTAGTCCGGTAAAACTTAATCCAAACTTGGGCGTTGCCTATTGCATTATACGTTGAGGGAGCCACCAAAGTACCATCTATCTTCATTGTGATGGCTTTGCTCTTACATGCTTGGCCGGAGAATGTGATTGCAGAACCAATCAAGTACCTGCCAATGGGTACATAGATGATGGCGGGATTTGTTGAATTACAGGCCAAACCCCATGCTTTTAGGAACGCACTTCTTGAGTCTAAGCGGCCATTGGCTTTGGCTCCAAAACTAAGGACGTTATATGTTACCTTTGCTGAATATGAGTATTGGAAGAGGAGGAAAATCAAGACTGGAACAATATTCAGTTTGGTGACCATGATGAAGTTGTTAGGAAATGTTAAAGTACGTATAACCAATCCGTTGATTCAGTTATTTATATCTGTTAAATTGAGTGCATAATCCAGGTATGCACCGGGGGGTGGGTTGTATTATTGATAATGATTGATATGAAGTACTCCGTATGTATAGGAGTACGTACTGATCCATTGAGATGGTAACATGCGGGGAATATTAATCATGTAACCTCCATAATATATTAACATTTAACAAGTCTGTATAATATTCATTTCACAAAATGTGGTTTGAAATTTTGATAAAAAGGTTATTTAATTATGAAGTTATATTAAAATGGTGTGAATGGTATTGGTAGATGATATATATGTATTTAATATAGTTATCCTAATGCAAATGGGAATTAATGCAGGGAGTATGATCTCACATGGGTTAATTAGCGGAATGTCAACCCGGCCGGCCTAAAAATATTATTACGGACGTCGTACAAAAATTATGTCAACCTTGAAATATTTTTGTTCTTAGGGAAAACTATAGAAAGAAATCATTATATATATTATACCTTCAAATAAAAGTGACATTATCTTAAAAAGCTTATAATATGCCTTAGAATAACAAAGACATCAAGAAATAATTAAGTGTTTATGTGACCCATTACTGAAACCACAAATAATCAAAATCACCAAGGTGTTCTTGAAAGTAGAATAAATCTGATCTTCATTAATTGAAACTAGTGGGGAAGCCCATGCTAAGTGCGGGTTGATAGGATTATAGTTTTTAATCAAATATAGATTGCAAAAAATATGGAAAATATGTTTGTTTTATATGATTAAAGGTTGTTCCTTGTTTTTACAACAATATGGTAATTTAGTAAAATCACAAACATACCAAAAAAAAAAGTCCATTAAGTCTCATAATATATTAATACGTGCATATAAATAAATAATGTTTTTAGTGATTAGGTTCGATTATGCCCTATTTAATATATCATAATAGAAATGCTGGGGTCGAATGTCTATAGTGAGGAGTCAAATGTACTTTGTGTCTGTAAAGTGTCCAAAATAGTCTGGTTTCGACACTATTAACAAGGCATGTTAGTTTTGACACTGTAATGTTTAGTCCTTTTTATTTTTTACGCGTATGTTGTACCCTATAAATAGGGTAAGTATATAGAGTAGAGGAGTATCGAACACAACATCATTTTACATTTTATACTGAAACACTCGTGTACTCTTCAGACGATATTGAGTCAAACAGATCTTATTTAGATCGTGTGTCCATTTACAACTTTTATTGATTCATTTGTGTTCTTAATCAAAATCTAACTCACATCAATTGGTATCAGAGTAGGATTCTCTCAATCGATTGAAGTTTGTCATAATTTTTGCATTTTTCTTAATCGCTCTTTTCGATTCAAAATCTTCCGCAAATTTAATCAGGAAATTGGTGTCAATCGGTTGTATTGAATTGATTTTTCACTCTGTTTGTTAGATCGATTGATTTCTAATCAATCTCTGATTGATTTCTTTCCTAGATTTTCATTTGAATAAAAAATTCTCTTTTTACGAAATCCGTACAACAATGGCGAATTTCGGTTTGAACACAATGTCTAATTTCTCTCACTTGCTCGGATCATCAACAAAGATTCCGATGTTGATTCTGGAATATTATGAGCAATGGGTTGACATGATGAATGATTATCTGAATGGGATTGATGAAGATATGATGAGATCCATCAAAAGAGGAGAATATTGTCCGGTGATGTTAGTCGATGTTGGTATGTCTGTAAATTCTGATGACATGATGACAGGAGGATCCAGGATGAGGGAAAATGATAAGAAATGTATGCGTGAATTACGTGGTGCTCTTCCACCAGTAGTCTACAATTACGTTCAAGGATGTAAAACTACAAACCAAATTTAGGATACATTAAAGGAGAAATATCAACGAAATGAGAAGACAAAGAAGAGTTCCCTCAAATAATGCTTGCTAGAGTTGGGAGAGTTCAAGCAGAAGGAAACAGAATCAATCGTATCAAACTATGATCGATCGAATGAATTGATCTTCAAGTGTTCTCGCTTTGGAGTGACACGTTCATCACTAGAGTTCAATCTCAACTTTCTCATGGGTTTAAGAAAGGAAGGGAGAAATATCAGTCTGATGATCAAGACACAAGAAAGCTTTGATTATTACTCTCTTGCAGATCTGTACAATGTATTGAAAGCACATGACAGTGAGATTAATGACAATACCTGAAGAAAGAAAATTGAGTTTAGGAGGACGTTTGGCCTTGGGGTCAAAATTTGCTCCAAAGGAATCTGAAGTCAAATCTGATGAAGAAGCCAATAATGGTGAAAAAGTTTTCTTGTTTAACTCGGATGATGAAGCTGTCACATACTACTCGAACAACAAAGTGAATAAATTCTTTAAGAAGCCTTTTAATCCAAAATTCAAGAACATTAATGAGGTTAAAGGAAACAGTTCATCTGGAAAAAAGTGTGAAGGATGATTCGAAACTAGAGAAGGATGTTAAAGGTGCGTATGAGAAGAAGAAGGAATTAAAACTGAATGGAGACTCAGGTTATGACTGTAACTACTGCAATGGGTCGAATCATTTGGAAAAGGATTGCATGCTGAGGAAGAAAGAAGAGAAAAGGGAGAGAGTAAAAAACGAAGCCTATTACGTGGAGAGGCTTGAAGAAATTCATTCATAGACAAAGAACCTTTCGTTAGTTGGTAAAGGAAATGATGAGGAAGATGGAACTTATCAGATCTGATCTTCAGGATCGGATGATGATGATATGCGAAATCCAACTCATGGGGAAATGCATGCGAAGATGAAGGAAGATGGAGAGGAGAAAGGTGTTTCAGATGAGAAGGATGAAGAAGAAGAGATTATTGGAAGCTGTTTCTGTTGGATTAGGTATTTAAGCCCATAACTATAGTTAGTATGTACTTGACCCGATAATAGCATGGTCCTTTTGGGTTGCCTTCATCGGAGCAATTTGATAGGATGGATATTTGAGAAAGAGGTTATTTATGATTTATTAATATATTATAAGAATAATATATTAATTGAGAAATCATATTATTTAATTGGTATTGATCAGGAATTAATTTAGAATTAATTCAATGATCAAAATAGACTGATTAAATTAACGGGGACTGATTAGCTAAATCAGTAATACATATAGTTTGGGCTAATGATCCATGTTGATTAGGGATAGACTAAATCTATGTGAGAGTCCATGAAGAGTTAGTCCAAAGGGCCTATCAAATGAGTTAATGGATTGTTTGAAGGCCTAAGTGAATGAATTAGGGTTTACAAGTTAAAACCCTAGGAATTCCACACAATATATGTAACCCCTAGCACTCCCAAAATCGGCCAAGACTTAAAAGAAGTAACCCTAGCGTATTTTTTGTTCCTCCGAGCCTCTCTCTTATAGTCCTCCATTGTTCTTGGTGTTTGTGACTAATTTGAGGTATCACATTTGAGGTGCTAAGCTCTTGAAAGGCCAAGTTCTACGAGCTACAACAAAGAGGTGCTCATCTAACTTGTTTTATGTTGTAAATCTCAAAATTGTATGCTAGTTAGGGTTCATTCTTTGGATAAAAGAAAATTGCATGTATAACTTGAGAAAACTTAGATCCAAAGAATTAGGGTTGTTTGTGCACCATAAGATTGTTATAGTGCTCAAAACCCATCAGTGGTATCAGAGACTAGGGTGTTTTCTGTTATGTTGATGCATTGGTTAATTGTTCAAAGTTGAAGCAAATTGAAATCTGCTCTCTGACTGGTGGACTCGATGAGTCCTATGAAGGAACTTGACGAGTTGAGCCAACTCGACGAGTCCATTGCCTGACTCGACATGTTGGATCATCTGTTTGCAGATTTTCAGATTTTTTGGCCAGAATTGGATTATGATCATTACCACAAAATGTTTTGACTGATAAAATTCATTTTTTATGATAAGGTAATGATTATCCTCAACCAATTGGAGGATAATTGTCAAATTTTAAGATAATTACTTGATTATGTGATAAATTAATTATTTGTAGAATTTGATTTGAATTATCTTTCAATATGAAATTAGATTAGGTCAAATTTTGTGATATAGATAAATTATATGATTAATTTAATTGTTTTCAAATTTGATCTAACATGTTTTGAAAAGTTTCAAAACTTGCCCTCAAGTTTTGGAATTTAAAATTGGATTAAAAGTTTTGATTTTGAAATATTTAAATTCTAAACCCTAGAGTTTTAAAAGTTTAAAATTCAACTCTTATACTATTCTAAACCCTATAAGGGGGTATAATGAAATTGTCTATAAAATGGCGATTAAATGGGTGTCCAGTCTCACCCGCCGCTTCCTTGACTAGTGGAGGGTCGTTAACCGAACAGGTAGGATAGGATATTAATTCTCATTAATAAGTATAATGATAATTATAAAAGTAACTAAATGTTTTTCATAAATTCTCAGTCTTAGTTACTTTAGGAAAAATGTGAAAATGGTGATATTCCATGAAATTGCGCTTTACACCTTGCCAAGTCGTTAGTGGAGCGTATGTGGTTTACCGACACACTAGTTTGGACTAACAAGGGTGGGAAGGGGTAGCTAGGTATTTGTCATAGATCAATAGAGCCTGTATGGTTCACTGACACATTGATTAGGTGATAAATGACATCGAGAGTACCACACATATTTACATGGTTATTCACACCTTGTTTGTGATCCTCGGTATCCCAGTCACAAACTTGAAGGGCATAATCGAGATTAAACATGCCATTGAAAGGTTTAATGAATTTCAAAGATCTAGGATTTTCATAAAACTTAATTATTTGAAATTTTGATTTTGGGTGGTGAAAATTGGTAAACCGTCATTTACCTCCCTTCAAATAATTTGCAATTAGATTACGACATCCTTTTTCTAAGTTGTGAATTATTGTGTTTAGTTCTTGCCTTAATATTTCATTTGGGTGTTATATTAAGGAATTTCTATCTAATGAAACTTGTCATTCTTTTCA